TAGGGGCATAGATATTCAAGATTGAGACTTCTTCCTGATGAATTGTTCCTGTTATGAGTATGAAATGTCCATCTCCATCTCTTCTGATTGATTTTAGTTTGAAGTCGATTTTGTTAGATATTAGAATGGCCACACCCGCTTGTTTCTTAGGTCCATTTGCTTGGAAAACCTTTTCCCAACCCTTTACTCTGAGTAGGTGTCTGTCTTTGTGGTTGAGGTGTGTTTCTTGTAGACAGCAGAATGTTGGATCCTGTTTTCGTATCCAATCTCTAAGTCTGTGCCTCTTTATAGGTGAGTTGAGACCATTGATATTAAGTGATATTAATGACCAGTGATCGATGACTCCGGTCATTTTTTTGGGTAGTAGTGTGTATGTGTTTTCCTTCTTTGAGTTGTGCTTGTGGAGGGTCGCTAGATGTCTGAGTTAATGTAGGCAGTGTTGGGAATGTTGGATTCCTTGGGTTGTGATTTTCCTTCTAGTATTCTCTGTAAGGCTGGATTAGTAGCTACGTATTGTTTAAATTTGTTTTTATCCTGGAATATTTTGTTTTCTCCGTTGATAGTGAACAATAGCTTGGCTGGGTAAAGTAGTCTGGGTTTGCATCCATTGTCTCTTAGTTTCTGCAGTACCTCTATCCAGGACCTTCTGGCTTTCATGGTTTCCATCGAGAAGTCTGGTGTAAGTCTGATAGGTTTACCTTTATAAGTTACTTGACCTTTTTCCTTTGCAGCTCTCAATATCCTTTCTTTAGTCTGAATGCTTTGTGTTTTGATTATTATATGACGAGGGGATGTTTTTTTCTGATCCAGTCTATTCAGTGTTCTGTATGCTTCTTGAACCTTCATAGGAATATCGTTCTTTAGGATGGGAAAGTTTTCTTCTATAATTTTGTTGAGTATATTTTCTGGACCTTTGAAATGCAACTCTTCTCCTTCTTCTACTCCTATTATTCTTAGATTTGGTTTTTTTATTGTGTCCCACAGTTCCTGAATGTTTTGTGATGAGAATTTGTTGGATTTGCTGTTTTCTTTGGACAGAGTGTTTAATTTCTCTATGGTGTCCTCAGAGTCTGAGATTCTCTCTTCTATCTCTTGTATTCTATTGGTTAAGCTTGTTTCTGAAGTCTCTGTTCGTTTACCCAGATTTTCCATAGCCAGCCGGCCCTCGGTTTGTGATTTCTTCATTGACTCCATTTCAGTTTTCAAATCTTGGACTGTTTCTATTACCTGTTTGATTGTTTTTTCTTGGTTTCCCAGAATTTCATTTACGGATTTACTCATTTCTTCAAACTTTTTGGTATATTTCTCTTCCAATTCTTTACTCATTTCCTCAATTTTTTTGTTATACTTATCTTCCATTTCTTTACGGCAGATTTTCACCTCCTGTTTAAGTTCCTCTATTATTTTCATAAAGAAGCGCTTAGAGTCGATTTCTTCTATTTCTTCTGGAGTAGGGTGTTCAATTCTTCTAGTTTCGAGCTCCCTGGATTCTGGCGATGTCATGTTGCCTTTCAGGTTGTTGGAGGAATTCTTGCATTGGCGCCTGCCCATCTCCCCCACTCTGGATGAAACTCCTCAGCACTTTCTGGATAGAACTCCTCAGCACTCTCTGGGTAGGACTTCACAGCACTCTCTGGATAGAGCTCCTCAGCCCTCTCTGGGAAGAACTCCTCAGCAGGGCAACAGGGCTAGCTGGTCTTCCCAGGACCCAGGAGACAAAGGGCCCGCAGCAGTGGGGGGAGGGGAGGGGTCCCTT